ATAGAGGAGTCTCCGCGGTGCCTCGAGGCAGCACCGGGGACACGCGGCTTTTTGAATAATTCAGGACCCTCTTTCGGCCTTCGGCCCTCCTCGTTTTCCAGCGGAAAATTCTGTGTGCCCTCTGTCCTCCAGAACGCTGTGCTATTGGATGTCCCTCGAATCTTCCAGGAACGTTATCAATGGTCTTGGATGCTGGTCGAGATTAACTTGTGATAAGCATGTTGGTGGCTGGTCCATGGAGTGTTCATGTTTCTAGTATGATGTCCAATTCTTTGAATTGTCTGTCCTCCAGAACGCTGTGCTATTGGATGTCCCTCTAATCTTCCAGGAACGTTATCAATGGTCTTGGATGTTGGACATTAACTGATAAGGAGAAGGATGATGCTGGCTGGTCCATGGAGTGTTCATGTTGCTAGTATGAATTGTAATGTCTTCGGATCATCCTGACGGTGAATGTCGTTGGAGGATTTTCAGGTCTCCGTGGGCCTCAAGGATGGATCCTTGAAGAGTTCGCCGGTTATTGACATTGATTCGGTAATTAGAAAGGTGCCGAGACACCCGTCGCGGCAGGAGGTTCAATCGAATTTGAATTTCTTATTTTTCTAATGAATTAGCATACTGTTGACCTTCGACTCTCTTACAATTGTCGGGCGAGGGGGCAAAGGTAGGAAGGACACTCCCTGGCTCGATGAAAGGCGGCTGCTAAGTCGAATGTTCACGGGTCTGACAGATTAGAATCGGTTAGGGGACATAATTCAATAATTACCGATCCGGCCCGGCGTGGAGGAACGCAATTATCCGTCACGAGACGCGTTTGTCTCTCTATTAAGTCCGGAGAGACGAGATTCTCTAGTATTTACCGCGGTTCTCGCTGGGCCGATTAAGCTAGCGCGTGAAGCGCTCGGTTTGCGGAGTCGTAAAATCTTCTTGCTCCCTGCGCAGAGGTGTGCGACACTCTCTTCACTCGTTCTACGGTTAGAATAATGTAAAATAAAAATTAGCCAAAGCGATCACCGGAGGAACTCGTAATTTCAAGTTCAAACGAGAACAACTTATTTTTTTAAACTGATTTTCAAGCTAATTTCAAGTTGATTTTATAATTTTGTAAGAACAAGTACAACCTGATACGATCCAGTGAGAGAGATCCTACCGTTCTCTCGGCGAGTGTAAAAATAGCAACATTCGATGAACCCGTTACTGTGTCAAGTACCTTTTTAAATGGAATGATTTTTAATTGGGTTACGACGGAGCGATAATTCGGTATGACTCATTGCCGGTCGTTTTTGAAACGCCGACGAATCGGTGACGAGAATCTGCCTTAATCCTTAATTGCTGATGTTAGAGTGTCTCTGACCTCATTGCATTTTCTTTTCCCTTACATGCACCGGTCGAACACGTTCTTCTCATTCAAATCACATCGCGAAGCGGCTCGTCCATGGTAACATGGAATCGGTGCATCGTGCGCTCGCTCGGTTCGCGACGAGAGATTTTATATTTATAACATTCCTTCTTTGCGTCGTTGCTAACGTAGAATTAATCTCTCCCTATGGTTTTCCGTGTAACTTCCTATTTCCAAGCACGCCGATCTGAAATTAGTTTCCTAAAAGTTACTAGAACCGGGGGAGTACAGATTATTTAATTCTAGAACATTTCACTCAGTGATACGAATAATTCCTTCTCAATAATAACAATAATTTCTTCTGTTTCAAGGAATAATTTTATCTTCCAATAAAATTGGAATCTCCAGGAAACGTATTAACACTAGATTTACAATCAGTCAACGTGACTCATGAATTTTATGAACATTACTTGGCAAATGTTTGGATTTTAATTGATCCAATTATGAGATTATGCTTCCTAATGATACTTTTACCCCTTTGCATTCAGGTGACAGTCACCACTAGATTTGACACTATTTAATATTGAACTTTGTATAATAGAATAAAATAGCTTCGTTCCTCAATGTACAGATGTTTGGATTTTAATTGATTCAATTATGTGATTATGCTTCCTAATGATACTTTTAACCCTTTATTCAGGTGACTCAGTCACCACTAGATTTGACACTAATCAATATTGAACTTTGTATATTAGAATAAAATAGCTTCGTTCCTCAATATACAAATGTTTGGATTTTAATTGATTCAATTATGTGATTATGCTTCCTAATGGTACTTTTAACCCTGAAGATTCTTCTAGAAACTTCTTGAATCTTCCTAGAAACAGAGAATAAACTGTACGATAAATGTAAACCTAGTGTTAAAGGAATTCGTGAGAGGTGCCCGCAATTATAACGCCAGTCACAGCGGATAATTTGCGACCAGAATGGAACCGAAGAATCTCGGCGTATCGTGTATAACGGGTGACCGATAAATACAACCTTGTCCCAGTTTCGTCGATCAGTATAGATTCTCCTGACAAGAGGAACGACGACCCGAAAACTTCAAATGCAAACGTACGACCTTAATTCCGGCCTAGTCTCTTCGTTTACCAATTATTACTGTCTGTCCTCGTGGAAACCTATGCGAATGACACATCATTCAAACAATAAATAATGCAATCTCCAACTGAAATTGAATCCGGTGGTATTCAATATTAAATATTAATATTATATTAAATATTGATACTATATTAAATATTGATGTTATATTAAATATTGACACTATATTCAATATTGACACTATATTAAATATTGATGCTATATTAAATATTGATACCATATTAAATATTGATACCACATTAAATATTGATACTACATTAAATATGGATACTATATTAAACATCAATATTATGTTAAATATTAATCTTATATTAAATATTTATATATTGAAAATGAAGAATAATATATACATGGACACAATTAACGAGGAAAAAAAATTCCCCAGAGACTTCTTACGCGAGTATCGACAGTTTACGGTTGAACGTCGAATTATCGACAGGGCCAGACAACCGTGATGCAAAATTTTGTTAACGAATGCTGATGACATGCAACGACTCTGATCATCATTGTTTAACCCGCCTGTCGATTCAGGCGACAGACTGAAATCAATACGAAATTGCTTCCCAAATTTGATTTCCGCACGGTATTCGTGGAACGATATCGACCTACTGAACTTTGACAGGTCACTTTGACGTTATGCGGAAATATCGCCAGATGTCAGTTTCAATGGTATTCCGAGTAGGGATCTTTAATTCTTTTTTTAGCTTTATTATTAAACACGTTTAATGCCACGGTTATATTTTGCTCATAGACTGTATTGTTTTAAATAAAATATTAAGTTATATGCAAATTTCTTGTCATGTAATTTCTGAACTGTACTGACTTTTAAATGAAATGTTAACTTACGTTCAAATTTCCAGTAATCTAATTTCTGAACTGTATTAATATTTTAAATAAAATATCGTTATATTCAAATGTCTGCTAATTTTTATATTTTAATTTCCTTTATGTTCCCGCTTTGTAACGATTATCCATGATCACATGTTTCTTAAAAATATTTTCTTACAGAAATTAATACCACGTATGATACACATGTAACTGAACATATTAAGAAAATAAATAATTTTCGACGATTCGTTCAATGGAACAATCAAATTGAAACAATTTCCCAAGAATATTCATACGTGCCTAAGCTTGACGGTAACAGGACCCGAGGATTTGTCGTCCGCCGTGGTTTCCTAGAAAGCGTGCCCTTAAATGGCACTAGAGACGAATTTGTTCTTCTCGCGACGTTTATAGCCACGCGGCAGCCTCATAAAAGTATCAACCGACACAAAGAAACGCCGAGAGAAAAGGAAAGAAGTTTTTCTACCTCTGAATGCTTTCCTGTCCCTATGTGTGCCGTGCCGCCTACGAAACTAATAAACATAGCTGGGCATGCGCATAAACAGACAAATACTTGACGAACTTCAAACCGCGAGATATTCTAGAAAACTGTCAATAATATTCCAAAGAATTCATCGAACCATTCAAGCATCTGTCTACTCTTCAACGACGGATGAATAAATTAATTGACTCACTGAAAATTACCTGTGACTCGAATCGAGAAAAAAAAAGGTTATCGACCTTAGGCGAGCTTCCAATTTCAACGATTCTCGCATAGATGTCGCTCAGAAAAAATTCAAATCTAAAAACGCGGGAAATAACTGAAATTCGTTAGAACTCTCTTTCACGTTATGACGTTTTTGTTTAAAAATTATTGACATATTGTACAGGTTGATAGTCTTATTGGATTACATATTCCAGATTGTGGAATCTACCAGCTTATACAAAATTATTGATAAACATTTCTGTAGATATTGAACCATTTATTTTGAAAGTAGCTTGAGTCCACTTGAAAAAGATTTAAGAATTATTAAAGAATAAAAAGATTATGTAGATCTCATGGGAGAGCGTTCAGTTTTTGTTTCATTTTTGATACTAATTTGCTATTGATCATTGATCATCTATTGATTTAAGAACTATTAAAGAATGAAAAGATTATGTAGATTTGCAAGATTTATTAACTTGATTTCTTTGGAAAATGGAGTTAAGGTAGTTTCAAAATGAACGGTTCATATAATAGGAGAAAATTCTCTCTTGCCCTATGATTCCTTTCTGAACTGTGAACGACCTAGCTACTTTACTCTCAATAATTTATTGAAAATAAGAGAAGTGATTGACCTTTTGCCCTATGATTCTTTTCTGAACTACGAACGATCTAGCTACCTTACTCTCAATAATTTATTGAAAATAAGAGGCAATTCTACTCTTGTTCTATATCAACGTGTGCTCTAAAGCATAATCATTGATAACAGAGGAATAGAATGTAATCTGCATTGAAACAAATAACGAGTATAATAATTATGCAATGAACAACATTTGTGTTTGTTCAATTCTATTCGAAATTTTGTCACGAGTCTGACACGATATTATAAGGTAAATGGTTAACACTAAATTATTTTCAATTTCCCATAAAAATTAGAACAACGCGTTTCTTGATACTCGAATCTCCTTTCGTAAAAACGCGTTCACAATTTCTATACTTGCAAAATCAGAATTCTGAGATGGGTCAATTCGAGTGCTCCCCGAATTCGGGTGACACCACGATTTGCATAAACTTGGACATTACTTTTCTCGGTGATGAAACGAACAAACTGAATTCTGTTAGATGTGAGATACTAGAAAAATAGTAGAGCAATCGTTACGAAGAATGTTGACTTCTTAAGTTTCAGCGTTGTTAAGAAAATTGCTTTGATTGCGTAGGAGTTTCGATGAGTGTATACTTGGCAGTCAAAGTGTTAAAACAAAAAGAATGGTACCGATTCCACAGAGTTCCATTCGAAAATTACACCTAACCCGCGGTTGGAAGCGATAGATCGTACCAGGCGATAGATAGGAATGATTGTAGCCGCGAACGAAAAACCGTCGAGCGAACAACGTAACGGGCAACGCGCCTGTGGACGTCGCTTAAGAAGCTCCCTTCACCCACGGTATTAATCGAGCATTCGTCTCTCTCCGTGGCCTTGTAGACACGTACTACAAGTACAGTAGGTATGAGTGGAACGGTTGAATGGCACACCTATTTACGTGCGTCTCGATCGCCGCCATCGTTCGTTGATCCGACTTCGCTCGATTCAATCGTAACATTCCAGCCGAATGGTAAACGACCGAGACGCGCTCGGACCACGATGAAATCTAGATAATCCAGCGCAATCTTGGCCCTTAGTCCTGAATAATTGATAATTATCAACAGCATCGACTTCATTTCTTATATCCACGTGACATTTCTCGAAATGGATCTCCACAACAGAAGAAAAATCATTCGTAAAGACGAAGATCGATGAAACATGTAAAACAATAGAATAAATATACTACCAGAAAATGAAATTAATTAAGTACAGAGAAACGTTTAAAATAACGTTTAACCCCTTGACCTACCGTGTCAGACTCGTAAAACATTGAACTTAAGAAAGGTGTTATTCATTCGTTTTTAACCCTTCGAACTCTGTAGGCTTTAATATTAAATATTTCAATGAATTTTAAGAAACCTACCTTAAGATTGTTAGATTTTCCAAATATACAAAGTTTGTACTGAGAAGGGAATTAAAGGTTTAAGAAATGTTATAACATTGTTAATTTTCAGTAGGACTACTATCAAAATTGGTAGGCGTTGCTGACATATCACAAAGTTATGTGGAGTGCTAAGGGTTAACATAAATTACTCTTCTATTATCAATCGTTAACCTTCGAACTAAACGTAGCCGTCGAATAAACGTGAAAATTCTTTCTTTTCCTAATCAATCATTAACGATAAAGTAGTTGTACCGATCATAATTAAGAAAACGGGTTGACCAGTTAACTATATTTGACGATTATACACGTCATCATAAAGCTTGACACGATACTAATTCTTTCAGGGCTGAATTCTTCATTTTTCCACATAAACATATAATTCTTCTTTCTTTCACTTTGATCTTTCATTAAAATATAGTGCATTCATTCTGCGTTCGAAGACTATGCTCCATTTTTTGATTTTGCGCGCAGAACGAGAGGTTTCTCCAGCTAAATTCCACAGTTAACTTAAGGCTAACAAACGATGAAATTTATTTTTATTCCACGGTCGTTTGTTCCAGCGTCAGACGATCAGACGATGTTCGACGGTTAATTATATCTGATTGAGAAAACACAATCCATTGGACGAACGGAGTCGCGCCGGTACGATTCGGTTTCGAGCAATGAGCGCTCATTATATGCTCGTTCCAATTCCAACCATCATAGAGCGCACCGCGGTGCACTTCCTTTCGTTAGACTCGATTTCGCTTTATGAAGCCAACGGCGGCGTTATCGTTCGACGTGCACCGAACGTTTTCTCTTTCCCTTTTACAACCCTCCAGCAGCAGACACCGACGTTGAACCTGCGACGATCGTGTCAAGCGTTCCACTCGCGTTAACCGAATTTTCATGTCTGGATGAACGGTAGACCTAGCTAATCTAAGTTCAATCCTTTGCACTCGAGAAGTGACCCTCAGTCACCATTTGATTTGATTTGCAAAATTATAAAGTCATATATATAATATTAACACATTGCGTACCGGCTAATTTTCAGAAAACTGAATCGTGCAAATGGCAATTTTCACTGAGGTCAACTTATATCACTATCCATAGAAAAACTCTGATATCATATTGTTATGTAATATATTTTAAATAGATAATCAATTCGAATCAAATTTTATATTTTCTTCAATGCTGTGCTAATTAGCGAAGTTGTATAGCTAAGTGTCTTTATATAAAAACGCGATTTCTCGTTACCAGTACGCAATGTGTTAAGCTTTGTATCATGCATCAATATATGGAATATTCGAATAAGATAACTTTCCTTCTTAATTTATATATGTAAATCGTTTACAGCCACTCGATAATTACGAATAAAGCAAAATCGTCTGGTAACTCCAGTGTTAACCCTTTGACTTGTAATAACGTGTCAGACTCGTAACGACTTTAACCCTAATCGTACCACGATATGACTCAGTCACTTATGAGAATAAAAGGAATGATTGAAATGTTATTGTTTTTGTTTATAGGACTCAAATTTTAGCCCAGAGAGACTCTTGGAAATGCAATATGAAATGAAAAAATTTCAGTAAAGTTCAAATATGACTCACATCGTGGTCCAATTACGGTGAAAACAGCTTTGTTGCTCAATGTAGATATAATTTCTCTCCCAATTAGTTTCATAAATATCGTCTGTATCTCATCAGAAAATATTAACCCTCTACGCTCTTGGTTTCTCACTTTCTCACTACACGCCGACGTTAGTTCATTGTGACGCTCTATTTATTTATTCAAGAATATTTGGGAGTCTTTGAAATATTACCTTTAGATGGTACAATTGTGACACTACAAATAAATATAAAAAAAATTGTCGAGTCTGACTCGACATAGGACAAGGGTTAAAATATTTCTAATGAGAAACCTCCGAGTGCAAAGGGTTAACACGTTGACTGCCACGAGAATTCCTAGCGCTTTGAATACCAATACCATTCTTTAATAACAAAGGCGAATGATATTGAAAATAATGATTAATGGTTCAATATCACAGTAGTAATATGACCTAGCTACTTATGTTACCAAAT